TTCATTTAGTTCTATGAATTTTTAAAATTTCCTTTTTGATTTTTTCAATGATTCATTTTTCTTTCAGGAATGTATTATTTAGTCTGTATGAGTTTGTGCATCTTTGGAGGGGTTTTATTTTGTTTTTTCTTCCAATGATTTCAAGCTTTGTTCAATCGTGGTTAGGTAGAAGATAAGGGATTATTTCAATTTCCATGCATTGTTGTGATTTGTTTCATTTCTCAACAAGTGATCTAGTTTTGTAAAAAGGTTTCATAGTTGCTGAGAATAATGGGTACTTGTAGTACTGGAGTAGAAAGTTCTGGGTTATCTGTTAGGCCTATTTGACCTACAATGTCATTTAACTCTGTTATTTCTCTATTTGTATTTTGTCTGGATGGTCTGTTCATTGGATAAAGTCATGTTTGAAGTCGTGCACAGTTCCATTGTTGAGGTTAATCTGAGGACTCTAATCTCAGAAGTTGGTGTTCTGTATGAGTTAGTAGCAGTGAGCGTGTGCTGTGGAGTTCATAGGCTGTGGCGTCTAAACTATTAAGATCATGGGTGCTCTGTAGCAGACTTGAGATGGCAGGGATTTGAATGTTCACCCATATGACAGCAGTCTCTGATGTGTAGAACTCAAGTTAAAGTGTGAGAAGGTGATAGATAGGGTGGTCAGCATTGCAAGGTGTGACTTCCAAGTGGTGGGGGGCTTGCACAGAACACTCACACACAGATGTTTGAGTGACAGCGGGCAGGGTGATGGGTGATGAGTAGGTAATGGGTACACAGTATCATTTTGCAATGGGGTTAGGGTACTAGGAAGGGAGGAGGTGAGCAGTGACCTGTGGTGTGAGCAGATGCTCCACACAGGTCTTCATATGGCTAGGGTAGAATGTCAGAGGTGCATGGAATTGGGGGTTCTCTCTTCAATTGTGTGAGCAGATTCTGGTGCAGGCCCTCAGATAACAGGAATGGAGCATTAAAGGGAAACGAGAAGACCCTGGGGTGGCTGACTTAAATGTCCGAGAAGAGTCGGTTGAACACTCTACCTACAGGACAGGAAGTTGATGCAGATCCTCAAGAGATGGGTTGCAATGGCCAAAGAAGAAGCAGACTCAAGCTGAAGAGCTAAAGGCAGAGTCAAGGACAGTGGCCCAGAGTTCTAAAGTGATGGAGAAAAACGGCCAAGGAAGGAGGGCACGATAAACCTATCTATGAAGTGAGCCTTGTGCACCCTAAATGAAAGGTCATAGGGGCCTTAGAGAGCAGGGTTGGAGTTCCCAAAGGAGAAAAGGGGAGTGGTCCCATCTTTTCATGCTCTTTGGTGTCCTGCAAAAGTGTGAGGTGCCTGTTGTAGGCAAGTTAGAGGAGAAGGGATTTATTTGCCTAAAAGGACACTGGAAACAGGAGACAGATAGATAACAGGATCAGTAATGTACAGGAACTAACATTTATTGACAATATGCTGAGGACAGTAGGTTCGAAATAATAAAATAATATGCTTTCTTTTTGTTAAAATTTCATTTATCCATGTCTAGTTACACATGAAAACACTGGGTTTCAGCATTTCAAGAGGAGAGGCAAACTACTGTTTAAAATATAAAATTATTCCTAAGAGTCTAGAGCTAGGTTTTCATTATTATACAGGTCACAGAAAAATAATGTTTTAAAAGCCAAGCACTGAAAGATCTTTAGGTATTAAAATATAAACAAAGGAATGCAAACCAAATGAATTTAACTGTCATCCATAAATTGGGTTAAAAACAAGGCAGGCAATAGGTGTACTTAATGCTACGCAAGGGGAGAATAGAAAACTCAATTTCTTCTAGTGCAGCAAGATGGATGAAGAAATGGCAAGCCATAACACATGGCTCCTTTGGGTGCCACATTCAGCCCAGTGCCGGATCTCTGACAGCGATAGACATTGTAAGGAGCGAGAAGCAACCCCTGACTAAAGCAATGTACTTATTTTCATTCCCAAAGAAATGCTTCAAAACAAACAATGATTAAATTTCCTGGTTTCCTGAAACAAATTCTAACATTCTCAATTTGAGGAATGGAGCATACTGTTGTTAACCAGCTTTCCAGTCAAGGGGCATGTACAGTTTCAGAGGATGGAAAACTATATCCAACACTCAGAGGTGAGTGAGTATAAAGAAAGGGCATTTACTCCAGAATTTTCTCTGATAACTTCAAGGATTCATAATGGCCAGTGTGCATTGAGGAATGACTCCTTCCCAGCAGGGGGAGACACAAGTTGCCTCTGTCATCGCTAAATTCACACAGGTAGAATCAGTACACTATAGGTCACAGTAGGTACCATGGGACCAATAGAGAATGGGAAAAAGTGAGGATTGGATGTCAAAGTACCTAGCAAGGGGTACTTTGAATCCTCCAGACAAATATCCTGAGAGAATCTAGCCATGTAACTTTTAATAGCCTCATCTCCTGAAGGGATGAGTCTTTGTCTACAAAGACCCAAAGAACTTGCCCAAGGGTTCAGGCTATAGAAAACCAAAACACTGATGTGTTTGCTTTAGTTAGCCTTACTATTGCTGTGAGGAAACAGCATGACCAAAGCAACTTGGGGAGAAAAGAGTTTATTTCACTCATAGTTCATTATTGAAAACAGTGAGGTCAGGAACTTAAGCAGGACAGGAACCTGGAGGCAGGAGCTGATACAGAGGCCACAAAGGAGGCCACTTACTGGTTTGCTCCTATGGCTTGCTCAGCCTGCTCTCTTATAGAACCCAGGATCAGCAGCCCAGGGATGGCATCATTCACAATAAATCCTTAATTAAGAAAATGCCCTATTGCCTGATTTTTAAAATAGTTTTATTTATTTGCTTACTTATTATGTATACAATGTTCTGCCTGCATGTATGCCTGCATACCAGAAGAAGGCGCCAGATCTCATTTTATAGATGGTTGTGAGCTACCATGTAGCTACTAGGAATTGGACTCAGGACCTCTGGAAGAAGAGCTAGTGCTATTAACCCCTGAGCCATCTCTTATGACAGCATTTTCTCAATTGAGGTGCCCTCCTCTCTGATGATTCTAACATGTGTCAAGTTGATATAAAACTAGTCAGTACATCTAATCACATATAATATTTAGACAGCATACTGGCATAGAGGATGTTGCATGAAAATACTAACTTTCTATAAATATGAAAGTGACTTTTTTAATACTTGCTATTCCATATTGACTCCTACAGGGCATCACAGACTTGCAAACAGGTAGATCACCTGACAAATTTAAGTAAAATGTCTAAGGTCACTGTGTGTGTAGACTGTTTTCTGTTTCTGTAACAAAATACTTGATGCTGGATGACTTTTAAAGAAGAGAGTATGACTTAAAGCTTTTTGTATCTAAGACCATGGTGCTGACACCAGCTAGCGGTAGACGGGACCTTCAGGTAACGTCACACCCTGGAAGATGTTTTCAGAGTAGCAGTGTGTGTACGAGGCAGAGATTTTGTAGTGAGACATAAATGCAGGCGATGTAGAGAAGACAATCGTATCATTTTGTTACAATGCCATCTACTCTGTATTTGAATTCTTTCCAGAGGTGTCTCTCTTCATGACCAAATTCAATAAACATCCCTTCTTCACGGCTTTGTGACTTCTCAAAATCAGCTCACTGAGGATCAGATCAAGCTGCAAACATGCAAATTCTTCACATTCTTACCTAAAGGATGATATTAAAGTTCACAGCAGGGTCATTGTGGAGACAGCTGCTCCAAACATGGCGCTTTTCAGATCAGAACAGTACATAATAGCCTTATATACATTGGAAAACCAGATATTGCTAAAATGTTCTAATTTGAAAAAGCCCTAAATTCCAAAGAGTTCATACAAATAATTGAATATAAAATATTATTTTATATCAATTATGTTTAAACAATATTTTTGATATATATTAGGTTCAATAAGATGTATATTTCTTAATTGAACTGAATGTGCCCATTTTATTTTGTTTTTTAAAATATGATAGTAGAAACTGTAGAGTCCTTCAGGAGCTTGAATTTGCAGTCCGCATTTTTGTCTGCATTATGTGAAAGGCAGAGGAGACACATCAGAGCTCCACCTTCTCAAGCATTTGCAAAGTCACCGTCGGGACTGGCAGATGATGATCCTGGAATGACGGGTGTCCATTGGGGCTGACCACGGCCAGGGAAGGTATGAAGTTGTCCTTCCAGCTAATACGGTGGGTGCGAATACCACATGGCCAGGTGAGCGCCGTGAATGAAGACTTTGTTTGGCAAGAGAATCTTTTTCAATTTTGTCAAACAAACAAACAAACAAAAAGTATTGTCCCCCCCCCACCTATTTCATTTTCTTCCTACCTTAGAACAAACTTGCAAATTCTTATTTCAAGAGAAAGAGCAAGGAAAGAAAATTCAGGCTCTAGAGAACTTCGTGCGTGGCAGAAATTATTACATAGCATTTTGGATATATTAAATGCAAGTATATTGGAAACATATGGATTGCATTTCCTTTCAAAAGACATACATGTTTAAAACGTAATGGGAAAAGTACTTGGCAGAAGGCTGCCTTCGGCTTTCCAGATCCCTAGTGTTTTCATGCATAGATGTCCACAAACCATTTAGAGAAAGTTCTTCCCACAGAAACCCTGCAGGCCTTCCTCCGTTATCACTGCGGCTGTCTTCGCGCATGCCCACTGTCTACAGACAAGGATTCAATGATCCCGAAGAGTAAGACCTTTCTTTAAGCATAAACATGAAGAATTCAAAGGGTGGTGAAAGAATCTGACATCTGAAGGCGGGGCAGTCTTTCCAGTGTGTCCGCTTAAAATAAGAGACAGGGACAGGGCTGTGGGGAGTACGGAGCACAATATTTCTATCCCCAGTCTCTCTCTCTCTCTCTCTCTCTCTCTCTCTCTCTCTCTCTCTCTCTCTCTCTCTCTCTCTCTCTCTTTCTTTTCAGAGTGCTATGGAGCCGCCAAGAAGGCTGCCAAGGTGCTGAGATGTCCTTAAATATCATGCTTTAACTTAGGACTCACAGCAGCAGCACAGTTAAGTCTCGAGCCTGCAGTGTCCACCAGTGGCTGCCATCACATCTCTCCTTTATCTTCTCAGCTGTCTCCTGAGGAATTATCAGAGGAACCCTTCCCCAGGATGCTTTTCCTGTCGATTTCAGAAGCGATAGATGAGATAGATACTTTCCTAGGTGGCTTCACCAAGCCTCTTTCACCACCCTTGATCCTGATGACTGTGGTCATTAGTTCTCTTGGCCACACCCTCACTGTACATGGATTCCTTGAGGGAGTGAAGGATTTGAGTATCCTCAGTCCTCATCCCAGCATCTCTAAGTCTGCCATGGCATAGTGGTCAATAACCAACCATATTTATGTCGTCCTTTCTATGCTGGACAATCACTATAGTATACAAAAAACAACAAAACAAAACAAATAAAATAAAAACCCAATCAACCAACCAACCAGAGAACAATGCCCCTCCTGAAACATGGCAAAACCCTGCAGAGGGTGGCAGGTGATGAGAAAATCCCATCACGTTCTGAATTTCTTTTTTGTTTTGTTTTGTTTTTAAATAGTTTATTATTTTATAGTTTTAAGATGCATTCAATGAGCTTTTATCATTTTTATTCTTACCAATTATTTGCAGAGCCAATTAACTCCCTTATGCATCAAATGTTCATCTTTAAATTTTTTTTTAATTGAAAACATTCCCGCCTCCTCCCTGCTTCCCATTTCCCTCCTCCTTCCCCCATTCTTCTCCCCCTCCCTCTCCAGTCCGAAGAGCAGTCAGGGTTCCCTGCCCTTTGGGAAGTCCAAGGTCCTCCCCCCTCCCTCCAGGTCTAGGAAGGTGAGCATCCAAACAGGCTAGGCTCCCACAAAGCAGTAGGATCAAAACCCCTTGCCATTGACCTTGGCTTCTCATCAGCCCTCATTGTCCACCATGTTCAGAGAGTCCGGTTTTATCCCATGCTTTTTCAGTCCCAGTCCAGCTGGCCTTGGTGAGCTCCCAATACGTTCTGAAGTTCTTAAAAACTTCTCGCTATCAGTCTCATCAGACTGCATGGCGCAAAAGTTGAATCCAATATTGTACTAGGGTTTTTTTCCCCATCACTAAATATGCCTGTTTAGATGAGTTTAATAAACACAGATGCTTCAGGCCACAGACAGATACACTGTGAATTTTAGATCCGAAATTATCTTGAGAAATGTTTTGATTACAGTGAAGGCTGATAGTAAAATGTAAGAAGGAGTGAGACTTCTAGCAAGTTTCCTGAAGTGGTAATACCACATGTTATAAAGAAGAGGCTTAGGGCTATGGACAAGGTGCCCAAGGCCAATGAGCACTGTAAAGCCTGTAGAAATATCATGTTTCTGGGTCAGATTTGTCCTGAGAAGATTATAAAAGTTTTTCCTGTTTTCAAAGGGTATCTCATGAGTAAAGTTGACAGTACTCAAGGCCTCCTTTCGTTTCAGGCAGAAGGGATGGATGTCTTATACCCTCTTGCAGACCAAACTTCTGTTCAAAGATTAGCTTTTTCTTTTAGAACTCCCCCCCCCCCACACACACACAAGGCAGTGAATGGTAGCACCTCTGAGGAGGTTCTCTGTGTCCCACTGGCATCCTGGGTATTAGCGCGTGTACACTGCAGGCAAGCTAATCCCTCTCTTAAGCTCCCTGGCTTAGCTCATTTGCCAGATCTGAGAGGAGGTTTTAACCTTTTCTTGTTTCCCTCTTGGCAAACTCTCCACAGAACCCAAATAAAGAATTATAAGGACTTGGAAGGGACTTTCCATCACTAAGCAATTTGGTTTAAATTTCCAACATTTTGCCTACCTTTCTTTTCCATACCCTTCTTTCTGGTCACCATTTGGGACTCATGGCTGGCATAAATGCCACTGGGGACATTGTGGAAAGAAGAGAGTAGGATCATGAGTGGAATTTTCCAAATTAAGGTGGCTTATTGGCTCTTTCTGCCAAGCAAACTGTGGGAGCAGAAGTGCTTTGACATCTGGATTAGGCTTTCAAGCCCAGAGCCACGCACATGTCAGCTGTGTGTCTGGTACTCCACGTTACACCCACCTATTTCCAATTGCTTGCTCTTGTTGCTGCTAGAACCTAAGTTCAACAATCACAACTGAAAAGCTGTGGACAGAGAAATTGTTCTATGATCTCAGGGTACTAAGAGTCATGAGAATTCATGGAAACCTTCCCTGTGCCCATGTTAGGTGAGTCCAGCAACATACAAAGGTGGATCCAAAGGTGCTCTATACTTGTTAGCTAAGAACATTGAGACACAGTAAGCAAAATGCTTCTTTAAACCTTCACAGAGATAATGAAAAACAAGCAGAGACAAGAAGTGAATAAGACCCAGGCAGTTTGGACCAAGATCCAGGCAAGAGTAACCGGAGTGGAAAGAAAATGCCACAGGGCATTGTGAAGGAACAAACAAGTAGACCTTTGGCAATGATCGGAGAGAACTGAATAAGAAATCAATGTGCACTATACAACTCCATCTTAAAATATTTGTTAATTAATTTTCTAGATATAAGACAATAGTCTAAATTTATTATTAACATGAGAAGATAAAGATTTACCTAGGAAACAAGTCTCTGGCAGGTGCATAAGGGAGTATCTGTATTGGGCTATTAACATGGGAAACGCCAGGCTGAATGTGGGCTTCATCATTCTACAGCCTGAAGTCATAGGGTGAAGAAAGCTAGCTGAACACAGCACTCCTCTCTCCCGGCTTTCTGATTTAGATAAAGTGTGACAAGTTAACTCATGCTTCTATGGCCTTCTTCACCATGATGGAATATTTCCTTAGACTTGTGAGCCAAAATAAAATGTCACAGAAGTTGCTTCATGTCAGGCCTTTGGTCATCACAATAAAAAAGGTAACTAAAACAGTTAGGAGAACTTTCAAATGATCCCCTTCAAAGTCATCACATAGGAGAGACTTTAGATGCTTCTTTAAAATATATAATAAAAGTTAACATGTATGTTATGGAAAGAAATGTAGAATTCTGATTGATTGAAAAGATTGGTGCCCTTTATAATAAAGAGAGCTAACATTTCTTGCATGCTCACCAAATGTCAGCTGCTCTTTGGAACTCTTCGCCTATGCCACACTCTCAACAGTCTTTTGACTTACTTGCTACTATTATTCTACTATGATGGATGGTACAGAGTCACTTGCATAAAATGATGAGCAGAGAATGCATGGCAGAACAAGGGTTTAATTTTATGAAGTCTGTTCTCAGAGCCCATTCTCGTAGTCATCACTAGGCAAGCCTCTTTGCCTTCAGACAGTGGCCAGAGTCTCTAGTTCTGTTGTTGTTCTCCATGTCTGTTCTTATATAGGCATATAAGCTTTGGAATTAGCATAATAGTCTTATTCTGCTTGTTTGTTGGTAAGTTTTGCTTGGGAACTACAATAGAAGTTAAAAGAAATGTATGTGAAAGACAGAGAGGGAGACAGGGAGGATGCGTCCATCCTAAAGGAGACTAATTAATAGATATTCTTGCCTAGTGGTAATCAATTCCATTTTGACTGCACTTCCACATGCGAAGTCCTCCGTTGACATTTTTTCATAAGTGAATAAATGACAAATAAATGTATATAGTTGACTATAAGTACTGAAGGCCAGGAGCTAGAAAGACCTTGACATAATGCAGGGTTATCTACTGTTCCATCTTAGTAGAGTTCTGAGAAGGTAGATTTAGAGAGTTCCTCTGATGCAGGGGTCCTTTGCTGATAGTAACTCAGCAGAGAAGAGTCAGCCTGAGTGGAAGGCAAGTCTGAAACTGTTGGGTGGTAATGAGATAATAGGCCGGGTCCTTTTCCATTGCGTTGTCTGGGACTTTCAGCCTCACTGCTGAGGTTGAAGCACATTTCTAGACCTCTCTGCTAGTTCCAAAGCTCTTCAGAGCCGCAGGCATCATTAATCTTTTGGAACTAATTCATATTTAGCATAGCCTCCATGATGTTGACTCCTACATCATTATGACAGAACAAAGTCAAAGGAGTGTGACCACTGCACACAGCGTGAGTATCAGATCTGCTTTCTGAGTACACAAATTTTCTAAGCCACTATGCTCTGTTAGGTTTCTTTGTATTAACTCTTACTGGTATCAGACAGGGACTCAATGAATCCCTTACTGAAAGAGTAGGTGCAGTAGTATTAAAAGATTCTTTTTTTTTTCTTTATGATTGATTCAAACAAACTAACAAACAAACACACACGGAAACAAACAAACAAGCAGACCATAAGGTTGAGTTTTGAAAGGCAAAACTGAGCAGGTAGGACCTGCCCACTATGCTGTAGTCAAGGAGAACTATGTGGCAAGACACAGACCTCCTTTCATTTGCCACTCAGCCCTTCTGTGGGTGTGCTTATGGTCTTGTTGTCCAATTCTATGTCTGGAACTGGAAGGAACCATCCATATACTTACATCATTGACCTACATGTAGGCGCCATCTCCATTCTGAAGGCAATGGAGATTTCTTTCAATTGTTGGAGTGACTGATACATTAAAGCCAAGCTCAATCCTGGCTTAACAACCCACTAGCAGGTTATAAAATACATGTTTATGAATCCATCTCAGGCTGAATTCGGACCAATTGTTAAAAAGATTCTTTTTAAGCATGTGTACATTTGTATCATAGAATGTTTGCCCCTATTATTCAATCTGCTAAAATTGTGATTTAATTTAGTAATATGAGAAAAGTCTATAAGTGCTCTGGCTTATCATGCCACATTTTTTTCTGACTTATGTACTATACAGAATCCATTCTTATTTACTCTTATACAGTCTAGAGGCATGATTGAATGTTAGGTAATGACATCTCTGATAGCCATATAATATAGCTATGTGAACCTGCAACTCTAACTCACCATAAAATATTAAAGATTAATACTTTGAAAACACCTTCCTAACTGTATATAAGACATATATCCCGTAACTGCATGAGTCATTTGTGCTAGAGTGTTAGGAAAGTGTTCATTTATGTGTATGTATATTTATATATAGCAAGTATTTTTGAAGGCCCTTACCCGCTGCCACCAACAAAACTGTGTTAAATGCCTTGCATGCATGGATTAGTCATTTTCTGCTATGTATCCAATTACTACAAGTTGCCAGCTTAAAGCAGAGAACACGGTTACCTGTCATTTCCTGTGGATGAAAGCCAGTGTTGGTCCTTTGGTCAAGAGCTCACTAGACTGAAATCAGCTTGTTAGCCAGGACTGTATTCTGTCTTGAAGGTTTACCCAGGAAAGCATTTTCTTCCAGGTACCTTTGCATTACTTCCTGTGGCTGTATACCTGAGAGTCCCAGCTTATCATTGAACACCAAATGGAGGCTACCTTTCCCTAGTTCCAGGCCTTCCTGTAATTCCTGGCCCTGTTCATAAGCACTTGACTGCATGGTGATTTGCTTCTTCAGGGTCCACAGGAGACTCTTCCTCCATCCCCACTCTGCTTTACTAAAATCACGTTTTCTTTAAGGAAAATCACTGGAGCTTCTAGCATACATATTAGAAGCAAGTCAGCTCTTTATCACACCAAGGAAGAAGAAGTCACATATGCTATTATACCAGAAAGCAGAGATTATAAAGGCCATAGTAGAAGTCTAAATATAAAAATGCTTATTTACATATTCCAACAACCCTATAAGGTAGATTCTCTTATTATTATTAGTTTTCAGAGACCATTATGTTACCCAGAAGAAGCTGGTATAACAAGTACATTTGATGATAAATCCTGGCATATGAACCAAGGCCTTAAAACCACATCGGTGCTTTTGCTTCATGAAGCAACAGTGATCTGATATTTGCCGGATGTTGGATTCTCCTCCAACAGATGTTTCTTCTTCCTCATTTCATCCCGACAGCAATGCTGGTTTTGTGGATGTGACAGGTTATAACGAGAGAGGTTATTGCTTTGCAGCCTTGAACATGCTATTTGACTTTTCTGATCTTGACATTACTCACCTGTAAAAGGGTGTTGTGTGGATTAGATGAGGGGAGAGAGGAATGTGTCTTAGCAAATGCTCTAACCCAGATTAATAATTCAACACCGGGGACATAGTGTTGCTTCAAAGATCAGTAAAATTTGCCTGCATATCTGTGTAAAGTTGTGTAGTGTAAAGTTGTGTAGTGCAGTAGAATGAATCATGTGGGTCACTCGAGAATGCCTGTGCTACCTTTGTGTCTGGCAGATAATTGGGAATATTTTGTAATACTCTTCTATGGCTCCTGACTTCTCACCTCCCATTATCCCTTTTATCACTGATTATTGTAAAGGTCTTTTCGAGGTCATCCAAAGTCTAAGTGGGCTTTACAGCCGCTGCATGTCACTAGTGTTCTCTGTGGGACTCTTGTTTCTTTCTCACTCCCTGCCTCTATCTCATCTTTTTTTCTTTTTCCCTGTGGTGTTACCCACTGGGGACTAGATCCTCAACTACAGGTATTGTTTTGTATCCTACTATCCCTTTCAGTATAACCAGACAGTATAATTTGAAGAGACCCATCCCCCCATCCCCCCACAAAAGAGTGCTCAGGCCCTCAGCCAACAGTGCTTCCATAGATGATGCTGTGTTGTGTCTTAGTGAGCCCTAAGAACTCCAGGTGGAGCAAAGACTCCAGAGGAGCTTCTGTGTTCCACGGCTGTAGAAGGAGAACTAAGAAATCTTTACTAAGCATGGCAGATCTTCCAGGAGATGTCCTGAGGCTGACAAGGAGATGAAAACGAAGACCTGGTGATAATAGGGATTTCTGAAAAAAAGGTCTGAGCTTTGGCATTGAACCAGTCTGGGCTCCATTCCCAGTTCTGCTTCTTGCTAGCTGCATGACCTTGGTTGAGAAATCACTCAATACCCCTGTCAGTTTCCTCATCAGCAAGAGGGGGAAATAGGAATTCCTTCTTCAGATATGAGCATGATACCCAACTGATGAAATCATTGCAAAAGTGAGTCATGAGCTAAAGATGCCACTGCTGATGGGGATTGCAATAAAAGATTGAAGTTGCAAAATCCAGAAAAAAAAAAAGTCAAACTGAAAAATTCCTAACCTTGAATAAATAAATAAAGATGGAATTTACATTTTCCCTCAAGTCCATTACTATTTCATCATCTTTTCTTTTCCAAAGCATATCTTTAGAAATGATGATTCTACCGACCATGTGTGATTTGCAAGAAAGGAAAATGTGCTTCAACACAAAAACCCTCTATTGCTACTGTAATTGTTGTTTAGATTAGGATGTAGGAGCACAAGCTGTGACGGACAGCACTGCCTACCTCTGGAGGTATACTGCCTTGGTCACAAAATCCCTACACTTTGAGAGCATCGCTGGGATTCTGAGAAAACATAAAGCATTTTAAACATCGGCCATTTATAACCATTTGCAACAGCTATAGTAAAAATATCACACCTCCAAATGAGGAGCCTGTGGATAAAAAGAATAAAATAAAAAGGCAACGTAAGTCATGGGAAGAATTTAGAGTGATGAAAGATGGGCTGATTTTGTAGATGTGACTGGATCTGGCATGCTGATTTGTCATTTTGTCAACAGATGGATTTGTTACGATTCTACGCTAGTTTCTATGTTCCAGTAACAGGAAGTGCCCATATTTTTTTATTATTTTGCTTTCTATCAATTTTGTTTTAAAAATTTAAGTTTTTTATAAAACATATGATTCGTAGAACTCATAAGACAATAATTTTTCTTGTGTTTTTAAAGAATATTCTTAATGTTAGTGATTCTTTTCCTTACCTTTATTCTGCCCTCCCCTCCCATTCTGATGTGGGAGTGATTTCTTACTAATAAAGAACCTGCCTCGGCCCTCATAGGACAGAAATTTAGGTAGGCGGAGTAGACAGGAGAGGATGCTGGGAGAAAGAAGCTTAGTGAGGGAGTCGCCATGATTCTCCCGCTCCAGACAGATGCAGGTTAAGATCCTCCCTGGTAAGCCAGCTCGTGGGCTACACAGAATATTAGAAATGGGTTAGAACAATATGTAAGAGCTAGCCAATAAGAAGCTGGAACTAGCCGGGCCAGGCAGTGTTTGAAAGAATACAGTTTCCGTGTAATTATTTCGGGCATAAGCTAGCCATGCGGGCGGCCGGGTGCCGGGGACGCAGCCCCGCCGCTCCTATTTCAACACCATTCCATCCCCCAAAGTCTGAATCCTAGTTTGGTTTCATGCAATTTTTCCATGATACTAATTTACTGTTCTGTTTGTCAATTATCTAAGTTAGGGTTCCTGTTGCTGTGACCAAAAAGCAAGTTGGGGAAGAAAGGATTTGACTTATGCTTCCTTATTGCTGTTCATCACTGAAGGATGAACTGAAGGACAGAAACTCAAACAGGACAGGATCCTCGCACCAGGAGCTAATGCAGAGGTCACGGAGGGGTGCTGCTTACTGGCTTGCTTCTCCTGGCTTGTTTAATCTGCCTTCTTCTAAATTCCAGGACCACCAGCCCAGAGATGGCACCACCCACCATGGGCTAGACCCTTCCTTGTTGATCACTAATTGAGAAAATGACTTACACGTGAATCTCATGGTGGCATTTCCTCAACTGAGGCTTCATCCTCTCTGATGACTCTAGGCTGTACCAAGTTGACACACAAAACCAGTCAGTACATCCAGCTTTTACATAAAAAAAGTTATCAAAATTGTTTTTTCTCTGACCTGGGCTTGATTTTGTGTTTTCACAAAAATCACCAAGAGAGCTTGACTCAGGCCATACGTAGAAAAGATGATTTTATCTTTGTCAGAGGATATTAGACTATTGTATTCTCAGGACAAAGGCCGAGTGACAGAGAGGACTGCCAAGTCCATATGGAGAAAACAGGAATGAACTTTTTTAATTTGTGAAATCTCCAGGGCACATGACCTTCCATGAGTGTGTCTTGGGCTATGTCTTAGTCACTTTCTTGTTACATGATAATACACTCTCACAGAAAAGGAAATGGTTTATGTGGTCTTCCAGTTCCATGGGCGACATAGTCCATCCTAGCAGTTAGACATGGAAGCAAGTGAGGAAAATAAGACTGTAGCAACAGGGGACAGCGTGTCTAACTTCCACCCCCTCACTCAGGAACAGATAAGGGACTAAGGGGCAGTAAGTGGGTCTGGGATATAAAGCCTTGAGGTCTATCCTCTGTGTCTCACTCTCTCCAGTGAAGTTCAGTTTACTAAAGGCTCCATAACCTTCCCAAATAGTGCTGCCAGCTGGGGACCACATCTTCACACACATGAGCCTATGGAGGACATCTCACATTCAAACCATAATATCCAGCCAATGTCTTAATTGTTGGAGAAAACATAGCAAAGGATAGTGGGTAGTAGAATGGGATAAAACCGGTCCTTGGCAGAGGTTCTGGGACCCTTTTCTTTCAAACCACCACAGTCCACTTCCTGACCCTCAAAGGCTTGTAGCCATATCATAATTCAAAAACTTTACTGGTTCACGGTCTCAACAATGTTTTAAGTCCAAAGTTCAAAGTCTCTTTTGAGATTCATGAAGTCTCTTAACTGCATTTTTCTATAAAATCAAAATAATAATAATAATAATAATAATAATAATAATAATAATAAAACAGACTACATACCTCCATCATATAATGGCACAGGGTATACATCACCATTCCAAAGCATAAGGAAGGGAGCAATAGTGAGGAAATACTGGACCTAAGCAAGACCGAAAATCAGCTGGACAAACTCCAAACTTTCTATTTTTATATCTGATGTCAAAATACTCTTCAGATCTCCAGCTTCCTTCGGCTTTGTTGACTGCAACACACGTCTTCCTCTCAGGCTGGTTCCACTCCCAGTTAGCAGCTTTCCCCGGCAGGTATTCCATGTCTGTGGCATCTGCAACATCCTGGTCTCCAAGGCAAGCCAGGCTTCAACCTCATAGCTTCATACAGTCTCTCTCTAGGTCTCCATTCAGGGACACTCCTGACACATGCTTGGCCTCAATGACTTTCCTTTGTCAGTCCTTGACTCTAAAGCCAGAACCGCATGGCCTAAGCTGCCAAGTTCTTCCGCTTGCTGGAGGGCTGGAACATGGTCCCCTGGTTCAGTTACATTAGTTACATTTTCACCAGGTTTCTGTTTTCAATGGTTACCTTCACCATCTACGCTTGGCTGTCCTTGAACTTGCTCTGTAGACCAGCTGCCCTTGAACTCAGAGGTCTGCCAGCCTCTGCCCCCTGAGCACTTGGATTAAAGCGTGCACTACCACAGCCTGCTCTAAGCCTTTCTTTTATTCCTTTTCATGCGTTGGAAACATAGCTGGGTGGGATCTTACCCTGAGCTCACCATTTCCTTTATTCCATCTCTTAATTGGTTTTATCTCCTTGAAAATAGGATTTAGCTCTGTTCCACATCCTGGTGCCCCCCTTTTTCTTTTCAATCTGTACTTTTGCATTTTTATTAGCTCAGCTTGCTGCACCATCAGAATTATCACAATCACACAACAGAGTCTATACTTGGCTGTTTTGAGATTTCCTCTGCCATTGGAATTAATCCAAAATTCTTCACTTTAGCCTCAGGCAGACTTTTTGGATAGGGGCAAAAAGCAGCCACATTCTTCACCAAAATATCCCAAGACTGGTCTCTAGGCCATATACTCCTCTCAAGCCCCTTGAACCAGGTCCCCACAGTTCAAATCACACTCAGCCCCATGCTCTTCCATGTTCCTACTGTGATGTCCCACTAAGCACTCCACTGCTTTCCCAACCCAAACTTCCAAAGTCCATATTATTCCAGACAAAATCATGGTTCACCTTTCTCAGCAATACCCCAGTCCCTGGTTCCAGCTTCTGTCTTAGTTAGGGTTTCTATTGATGCGAAGAGAGAGACGCCAGGACCAGGACAACTCTTATCAAGGAAAAATATTGGGGTGGCTTACATTTTCAGAGCTTCAGTCCATTATCATCATGGCAGAGTACATGGCTACCTGCAGGTAGACATGGTGCTGGTTCCATCTCGATATTAAGGCGACAGGAAGTAGACTGTCTCACACTGGGCATGGTTTGAGTATATATGAGACCTTCAAGCCCATCTCCACACATGTCCTCCAACAAGACCACACCTCCTAATAGTGCCACTTCCTTTGAGAGCCATTTTCTTTCAAACCACTACAGTAACATTTCAACAACTTATTATATGTATCTCTTCCTTAAAATGATCCTATTCGACAAGCAGTGTGAGCAGGGCGCATTTGCATTTCATAGACAATTGAGAGGATGCGAATAGAATCCAGTTAATCTGTAGCATCCCCGGGGAGAACATACCTGGCTGGAACAGCAAGTTCTGGGCTCCCCACAGTCAGGGGAGCACAGCGACTCTGGCAACCAAGATTTCAAGAAGCTCCTGCGTGTCCTCAAGTGCTGTTTGCTTGTGTAGTCATGAAGGAATCAGGCAGAAATTCTAGCTAGATTAGGAACTATAATTAGGATATGAAGTACACTGTTCAAGGTAACAGGGTGACAAGATTCATCAGTAGGTTTCCCTCAGTCAGATGGTCCTACCAGTATTCTATCTGTCCTCCTACTGAGTATAAATTGGCTCTGTCTCACTAGGAAAAGAACAAATCTCCCCCACCCCTAGTCTCTTCTTGCAGATTTTATAAAATGTAGACACTTCGTCTATGTCATAGGCACATTTTAATTTTCTGAAATCTGGTATCTTCCATTTGGGTCTCTTTCTACTGGCTCTGAAAGCCATTGTAAAGAGAGAAAATTAACTTTCCTTCCTGGTCTCCCATTTGCATTTTGTTTATTCAACTGCTCTTCTGCCAGATCTCAGTGTTATTAAAGAATATTTTGTTATTCTCCTGCAAGCATCTGAAGTTTTAGGAAACAATATTCCTATATTTATCTCTCCCTAAGCCACTGACTCAGTCTGTCAGCACTGACTCCACCATCTATATTTTCCTACTAGAGCTGGGACTGGATTTGCACATGTTCCTACTTGTGCCAGCTGTTGGGGTCCACCATTGAAAAATGCTAAAAAGAAAAGAAGGAAGGAAGGAAGGAAGGAAGGAAATAAGAAAAAGAAATTAGTAAAAGAAAGAAAGAAAAAAGAAAGCAAGAAAGAGAAAGAAAGCAAGCAAGAAAGATTGATGGGTAATAAGTCAGAGGGGCTGGTTCTTCTGTTTGCTTACAATTTTTCTGTAACTGCCCTAACAATGCATTTCAACCCCCATATCCCACAGTTCCTCACTCACCTGCCTGTCTCACTCACCTTCACATAACCTGTTTTTTTCAAGTTGCTTTAATTTTTTTTCATTATTTGAAACTTATTTCACTAATTTCTAATACCAACTCCCTCTGTTAAAATACCCAGTGAAAATAGCATTTAGGAAGCAATAGAAACATTGTTCCTGGTTCCTAACTGAAATGACTTTAAGACTTCTCCCGTTTTCCTCTCCGAAGCACTAGCAGAGTCTGCAAAACTGAAATTATTTTAGAATTGGCAAAGTCCAAATGTTGACATTTGAAAGATGTGACCTGTGTCTATTTGGGAGACATTCACCTGCAAATAATTTTAATTACAGGACGCTTCCATAGTTCTGAGTTTTGGAGAAGTTTGCATTATATGGGATTTTTATCCAAGAGAAGATTGTGCTTACAGAGCAGTGTCTGCTGTTGATCTTGTCACATGGGTGCTCTACATCTCAGCCTGAATCACACACTCCCATCTTCACCTAGGGGAATGAATTATGGCCCATTGTGATTTACTTCTGTGTGACTCGTATTGGTAATGACATCTTTAAGATTTAGCAGAGATGAGGCTGGTTGCATACCCTTATCTCCCAGGGACAGATCCATTCCCTTCTCTTCCTTATTCAGTTTATTCATGAGTTATTTCACCTAGAAAATTTCCACCTGTCCATTCATTCTTTTATTTCATTTGTTTTGCCAATTTTCCCTTAGATTCATGTTTGCCCTGGATATACTACTAAAATGGGATATATAATGAGAAAATTAAAAGGGCACCGAGTTCAAGGAGCTCTGCAGATTAGTGGGAAAGTTCTACTTGAATTAAGTCTGGACACTAAGAGAAATAAGTCTGATGAAATTCAGCCCAAAGAAGTACCTGCAATGAGAGAAAGTCATGGATAGATTCACAAGTGTATATAAGATGAAAAAAAATATAAAATGATTAGGAAACTGCTTGGCTTAAACCTAAGGCATGCTGGGAAATAAGAATGGCAAACAGCACAGAAAATGCAGTGAGTCATTTTGAGAGAAAGAGAAATATGCCCATTTATGTATACTTAGTGGGTATGTATTGCTTTTGAAGTGTGTCGCAGACACTACGATAAAAACTCAGTCTATCAAAATTTAGTAATAGGCACTAATATGGCCAAGAGCCTCTGCTCTTCATTCACACTCACCAATCACTGAAAATAATATGTTAAACCACTGGTTTAATAAATAGCATTTATCCATTTATTCCATAAATGTTTTCCTAACTACAATTAGTAGGATTCTCTAACCAACCCCATAATTACAAAAATAAATAAGACCGCCTTAAGTCTTAGCCCACAGTCTCACTCCAGAAACAAATGATTAAATATAATTTTCCGGGATTTGCTATTAGTATTATTTCCGAGTAAACATTGACTGCTTTGGGAAGATATAAGCAGTGTCACTGAAGGTTCAGGACAGCATTTAGAAAAGACCGATGGCATAGACCAGAGATTCAGTAGGAGGTCATCACACGAGGATGAAGGAGTGATAACTGACTGCTCCGTTGGAAAATCCAACACTTGTCATTTTGGGAATCCACCGATAGTTTAGAATTCTGAGAAATGGAGAAGTTTCTCATGATTGGATTATAGGCATGGCCCAGGGGCTGCAGAGATACCCAACTGGCAAACTTCACAAGATTGTTTATGTCACGGGGAATTCTGGGGAAGTTAAACCGAAGGAGACACGCCAGAGTTTCTATCTGGTGTCACTGTATATAGTTCATGTGCGGGAATACAATGGAAGCAGGTAGACCAGCGTGAAATCTGAGCTGCTTCCTTAGATCCAGAAAGATCTATTTTTCTATAATATGGTGCTATTCCAAGGTGTTCGGTTCTTGGATTGAAGGACAAAAAGGCACATAGACCTATGGTGGCTGATGGAAGTCAAGGTGTGATTAAACTCTCTCTTGATCTCAAAGTGTGTTTGAATGTGCCAAAATGTGGCTTGGTGGAGGGCCAAAGTTATGGCTAGATGGCAGTAAACCTAGATAATTCCTTTAATATTTTCGGGATGAGGCAATAAGGTGGTGGGTAGGCTGGGTGGTAACTGAAATCAGGTATGGAGCAAGAGAATATTTTTGTTTGATTTGGGTAACATTAAGGTTCTTACCCCATGCGTGCAGAGAAATAGGAGGAAAAGGAATTGAGGAGTTTATTGTAGAATGTGAGATGCGGCCTACTGTGTAGTTCCCTGAGGGTGGAATCACACTTGGGATGGGAAAGCACAAGTCAGTTTCCCTGTTAGAGAAATGAAGACTGTGTGTGGATGGGATTCAGTTCTGGGTTTTTGGTTATTGTTATTTTTTTAGAACTTTTATTGTGCTTATCCACAGGCAGTTCCTCCATCTATGGCATGTAGTTTGGTTATTATATCCTCCCCTCTACTCTGCCCCCTACTCTGTTACCCACCTACTTTCTACTGGCACCCTTCCCATGACTTTTGGTGTGCTTTGCTTTGTTTGATTTAAGAAGCCCTGAGTAGTTTCAGGGTCAATTGTGTGACCATAGATTTAGAACTATCTACTGGAGCCTAATGGGTAGCTACCTCAACAACTGAGTGACAAAAGCTGGCTAAACGTTTGGGTTTCTCGAGTTTCTGTTCCCCTTTAATACAGCCTAGAACAGTATGAACTTCATGTAATTGTGTCTCAGTATTGCACCACCACAGCCTTGTCACCACGGCCACAAAGAAGCTCAATTTGCTCTATTTACAGGTCTGAAAAGAAAACACGAATACTTTTATTCTATTGCTGAAATTTACTTTTCAGTCTACAGTAAGAAAACATCAGAATATTTGTACATC